ACTGGCCGACTCAGGGTGTGTGGCAGCCAGCTGGCTGTGTGTCTTGTGAGCCTGTTTTGTGTCTGTGTGTCGCTCGTGCGTGTCGTCATCACCTGTCCAGCGTCCACCCATACCGCGTTGGTGTCCAGTCCGAGCCTGGCTGTTCTTCACCGACCTTGGCCGGCCCTGGTACGGAGCGCCTAGTCCCGGATCACTAGAATGCGCCACAAGCACGCGCCCACTCGCACGTGCAAGGGCATGGAGGTTGATGAGCACCGGTTGATCCTACGTTCCACAGGAGAAACAAGAATAGTGGCGCCGAAGGTAAAGAAAGGACCAAGGGAGCAGGGGTGGGCGTTTGAAGAAAGCAGGCCAAGAAAGCAAGGCAAGAAAGCAATTTCCTGTAATGCGTGCCTGTGGGAGGGGGGCTAGTGCTACAACTTAAATGCTATGGGGCTCCCCTCCTGCCGGCTAGCTCCCCCTCCCCAGCATGGGGTGTATCACGTTGTGAGGTGGGGAGGGATCCCCTGTTCCGTCTGAACACGTGTGTTTGCGCTATGTATGATCACTGCACCACTGCAGCGGTCGCGGGTCGGCCTAATTTCAGTTTTCACGCTCGGGGGTATGATAGCACGACCATGAATTCTTACTCATGATATCAACAGACCCATCATTATATCACAAATCATGTGCAAATCATGCTATTCTCCATGATTTCATAGAGCCGGGGTTTTCTAGATGATACTGACGTAGACGGTAGTGGGTAGAGGGAGATACGGGGGGAGATAGCGCAAAAAAAAATCGTCCAGACTAGGCGACTATAATTTTGATGGGGCGCCGGTACGTACATACTTGAACGGTATCGTTCATAATATTTTTAACGTAGCAGAAGCAGAGGAGAGTTACTGTCCCTCAGGCCGCATCGCTGCCAACGCTGCGAGGGCGGCGGCGTTGAGCCCGCCTCCTGCGCCCCCCGCCGCCGCCCCGCCGCCGCGGCCGCCGAAGCCGCCTCCTCTGCCGGCGGCGAAGCCCTTGCCGCCGGCAAAGCCCTTGCCGCCCCCCTTGCCGACGTCGCCGTCGCCGCGCCCGCGCCCGCCGCCCCCGAACGGCGCGCCAACCTCCGTCGCCTCCTCCTCGTCCCGGGGGGCAGTTCTGGGCTCGCCCGGCCGAGCGCGGCTCCAGAACTTGGTGTGCATGTCCTGCGAGAAGGAGGCGAGCAAGTGGCCAAGTGGGTGCCTGCGGGGACGCTCCGGCGAGGCTCAGCCGGGAGGAAGCAGAGAGGAGGGCGGCGAGGGAGCCGAGCGCCACTCCACGCCCCACACGGCCGAGTCGTGCGCGTTCGACGCGTGGCCGTGCCCGTGGCAGGAGGAGAGCGGCTCCTCGGGCCGCGTCGTGGACCAAAAGTGGACCGCGCCGCCGTGGCATCCGGAGGCGAAGAGCTCCGCGTGCACCTGTTCACGGCGAGCGGCGTGGAGAGACGCCGTTCACGGGTCCGGGTGTGAAGAGGAGCGCGAG